AATCTCCTGGTATCTCCCACCTCCCTGGCTGCCATGAGCCTTCTCTGAGAAACCTGTCCATCCTCACATGCCTTTCCTGGGCAGTCTGAGCCCTACAGTGGCTCCCAGCCCCAGCCCTCAGCCTCTGGTCTTCACCTCTCCCACCACACACCAAAGCAGAAGTAAAACCACCACGAGCAGTGGGATTATAACTTTTGGAGATCAGAGCCCAAAGAAGTTGTGGGTGTTGATCCAGAAGGTAAGTTTGGGAAGGGGGTGAAAAAGTTATTTCCTAGGAGAGCAAACCAGTGCCAGCCCACTGAGTGCAGAGAAGAGATGCTTCTGAGAAAGTCACTCCCTTGTTGGCTCAGTGAGATGGGAAGAGGGAGTGAGAAGCTCAGGAAAATTAGGATAGAAGTGAAAGTACGTTGCAGAGATGCCAGGACGTCCTGAAAGAAAAAATACTGTTAAAATATGTACACAGAAGCCTCGTGTTTATAAAAGTTCTTCTACTGTCTGCTCATGGCAGATCAAAAGGGCCTTGAGGACCTACAGCTGTCACTGGCTGTGGTCCAGGCTTGCTCATCAGCACTGGGCTTGCTGGGGAGATGCAGAGAGGGACCCTGGGCTGTGGGAAGGGCTCCTCATGGTGGATACCCCCCCCCAAAGGATGCTGAGTGCTGGAGAAAGGGGGTTCTCTGTACCCACATGGTGCCGTTACTGAGGGAGGAAAGGAAGGGCAGGTGGCAACAATGGCAGCCAGCACCTGTGAGCTGGAGGAAATCTTCCCCACACACAACCCCCACCTCACCCCTGGGGTGGGGATGCAGCCTCAGGCAGCTGTGGCAGCAGGTGTGGGACACCATCAGGGTCATGTCTGCTCCTCCCTCACTGTCCTGACACAAACAGGAGTGACAGTGGCTTGTGCTAATGCCATTTCCCTTCCCATGCCTTGTCTCGTGCACACGAAGCTGTGTGAATTTTGCACGAGCCTTGGTCCATGTCTTGGTGCAGGCAGTAACTCCTCCTCCTCCTGTCCTGCCCCTCAACTGCTGGTGTAAACCATGAGCTGGCTGGGGCAGCATCAGGGCTTGAGGAGAGCAGTCTGAGCCCTACAGTGGCTCCCAGCCCCAGCCCTCAGCCTCTGGTCTTCACCTCTCCCACCACACACCAAAGCAGAAGTAAAACCACCACGAGCAGTGGGATTATAACTTTTGGAGATCAGAGCCCAAAGAAGTTGTGGGTGTTGATCCAGAAGGTAAGTTTGGGAAGGGGGTGAAAAAGTTATTTCCTAGGAGAGCAAACCAGTGCCAGCCCACTGAGTGCAGAGAAGAGATGCTTCTGAGAAAGTCACTCCCTTGTTGGCTCAGTGAGATGGGAAGAGGGAGTGAGAAGCTCAGGAAAATTAGGATAGAAGTGAAAGTACGTTGCAGAGATGCCAGGACGTCCTGAAAGAAAAAATACTGTTAAAATATGTACACAGAAGCCTCGTGTTTATAAAAGTTCTTCTACTGTCTGCTCATGGCAGATCAAAAGGGCCTTGAGGACCTACAGCTGTCACTGGCTGTGGTCCAGGCTTGCTCATCAGCACTGGGCTTGCTGGGGAGATGCAGAGAGGGACCCTGGGCTGTGGGAAGGGCTCCTCATGGTGGATACCCCCCCCCAAAGGATGCTGAGTGCTGGAGAAAGGGGGTTCTCTGTACCCACATGGTGCCGTTACTGAGGGAGGAAAGGAAGGGCAGGTGGCAACAATGGCAGCCAGCACCTGTGAGCTGGAGGAAATCTTCCCCACACACAACCCCCACCTCACCCCTGGGGTGGGGATGCAGCCTCAGGCAGCTGTGGCAGCAGGTGTGGGACACCATCAGGGTCATGTCTGCTCCTCCCTCACTGTCCTGACACAAACAGGAGTGACAGTGGCTTGTGCTAATGCCATTTCCCTTCCCATGCCGTGCACACGAAGCTGTGTGAATTTTGCACGAGCCTTGGTCCATGTCTTGGTGCAGGCAGTAACTCCTCCTCCTCCTGTCCTGCCCCTCAACTGCTGGTGTAAACCATGAGCTGGCTGGGGCAGCATCAGGGCTTGAGGAGAGATCAGTTCTGGGAGCTGTACCAACTGACTGCAGGGTCAGTGGTGATTGACATAATGGTCATGACAAAGTTCTTGGCATAGTCCCTTCAACAAAAAAACAACCCCTGCTCCTGCAGTCCAGACCCTTCTCCTTAGGTAACTTCTTGAGTACCCAAGTCTGTGCCTCTTGCCACACACATGGGTGTCCAGAGCAGAGGGATTATCCTGGACCACCTGAGACTCGGGGGAAGAAACCAGCAGGCTGAGTGAGCACCCATCATGAGCTCCCCTGGTACTGCAGCCACCTCCAGCAATTCAGATGCTCACCTGAGACTCCTGCAGCTGATCCAACCCCCTCTGTACCTAAAAATGCAAGCCTCGACTTTTCCAGCCAGATGAGCAGCCTGACAGAAAAAATACTAAGCCCTTAGGGTCTCCCTGACCTCCAGCACAGGATCCATCACACCTGGCCTCAAAGGATGGAACACATGGGTAGCAGAGAATGCTAGCTCAGCTCAGCACCCCCAGTGCTGCACTCTGCTCCCTTCCAAGGGCTGGAAGAGGCACGCTGAGCAAAGCCTGAATCCCAACTCTCAGCTGGGACTGACCTTCCAACCACAGTCAGGCTCACTCCCCCACCACTGGTCCAGAAGGTCCTTCCACTTGTTTCCAGGTGGCCTGGCCAGTGTCACAGTGGATGCAATGGTACCACTGGGATGCCTGTCAGTGTCCGGCTGCATCCATGGGTGCACAGCTTCCAGTTCACCCATCTGGATGAGCCTAACAAGAATTACAGGTCTTCCTCACCACTGCATTTTTCCTCAGTAGGTCTCCTGATCTCAGCAGTCGTGCCCCTGCCCTACTCTCCTTCACGCTCACCTGCAAGCACACAGCACCCCAGGCTCCCAGCTCACAAATCTCTTGTTCTGGCAGCTCTCCTCTCTGTGTCTTTTCATGTGACAGCCTCTTTTGTTCCCTAGAGGCACACACTGTCCTGATGGAGAGAAAAATCAACCACACAGGGAGTCCTAGATGGCCTTTGCTTTCCAGCTGCATCACTCAAAGCTTCCACGTGGGCTTCAAGGGAGTACAGAGGTGGAGGTTCAGACCAGGTAAGAACAAGCTTGCACAAACATCAATGTCTGCAGAGAGGTACCTGAGGAGTCCTCAGCTGGAGTGGATTGCTGTAACATCTTGCCCAGGGCCTGGGCAGTGGTAATAAAACATCACACAGCCTTCCTGACACAACACACCATTTTCACAGCCTGTGCAGCAGGTACAACTGTGGCAACAGCACTCCTGTGTGGCACTGAAGACAGAGATTAGAAGCCAGGTGTCCCCACCAGGTCACTTTGGTTTGGTCCCTTCTTGAGGCACCCCAGAGATCTACAGGTGCATGTGTCCTGGTCCTCCTCCTCAGGAGGCACTGAGGACATTTTCCTTTTGCCAGGTGTGATGAGGTTGTGTCTCTACATGGAATGATGCCCCTGCAGGATGGGCACCACAGAGACATGCAGCTCTAGCAAACAACCACCACAGTGACAGGTGCATTTTACCATGTGGTGCCAGCTCATCAGAGCAGGCAGGACTCAGAAAGCTGTACATGGCAAGGCTTAAAAAATGACAAGGGCAACCAGAGCTCTGTGCAGTGACGTGGAAACATCACAGAACGTGAGAATGGAGAACAACCCAAGAAGTGCTGCTTTTCCCTGACATTCTCAGACAGTCTTCCTGTGACTCCTGTTCCCCAAGCCTCTGGGCTGCAGAGACAACAAAGCACACGCTTCAGTCCCTTGGCCCCACTGCCGAGGCACGGTGCTCCTGCCAGGACCCCCACTTGGTCCGGGGGGGCTTGGAAACAGCTGAGGCTGCACTTCCACATCCAGAAGCAGAAGCACGGGGGCCCGGAACGACCCGGACCCGCACCCCGACGTCCCCGAGCTGCTCCCGCGGGGCCGGGGGTGCTGCGGGGCTGGGGGTGCTGCGGGG